TCACCATCACCTCTTGCCGGGGATTAATGCTGGGTTCTTCGAGAACATCGATTGGAACAAGCCGAATCAACTCTTCGTTTGAAGATGATGCGGCTGCGGCCAATCGATCTGCTTCGGCATTTTCATCTCGTAGTACCTGATAGAATTCGATTTGATCGAACTCCCGGATATCACTCTCTACAGCATCTTTGTATGACTTCATACGTTCCTCCTTGGGAGAATAGTGCCCTGTCACTTGATTGATCACAAGTTGTGAGTCACTAAAAACTTTTAAACACCGTACCTGTAGCTGTTTAGCTAGCCGAAGTCCGGCAAGCAACGCCTCATACTCGGCCTCGTTATTAGTAGCTGGGAAATCTAGCAAAATTGACTGCTGCAGCTTGGTACCCTCGGGTGTTGTGATGTCAATCTTGGCCCCTGCCCTTTTCTGGTTGGAAGAGCCATCAACCCGTAACTCCCAGTACGGCTCTTGAAGTGTCGGTTCCTCAGGTTGATCTTCATACTCTAGTAGGAAATCCGCTACTGACTACCCCTTGTGAGATACCTTCGGTGCATTGGTGATGTCAAAAGAGCTAAGTTCAATAGCCCATTTTGTAATTCGACCAGACAAGTCTGGTTTAGCTAGGATAGCCCGTATAGGGTGATTTGTAAGTACCACTATGCTGTGAGATTCGAAGTAATGTCGAAGTTTCCTCTTGGCATAAATTAACGCCAGGATTACCTTTTCCGTCTTGCTGTACCGTGTCTCGGCATCCGTCATCGTTTTGCTTGTGTAAAAGATTGGGTGCTGAACCTTGCCTCCTTCTTTGATCAACACTGCGCTTGTTGCTACAGCTGATACTGCCAAGTACAGGATGAGAGTGTCTCCGGGCGTTGGAGCAGAAAGGATTGGGGGTTTTGTCATGTAGCTTTTCAATTGATTGAGAGCTTCCTGCTGCTGAGGTCCCCACATATCTTTGTTTTTGGATCGAATAGCATCAAAGAAAGGTTTATACTTATCAGATAATCGGGATATGAACCGGTTGAGAGCTATAATTCGGCCGGTTAGAACTTGCACTTCCCTGCGGGTTTTTAGCTCTTGGTTTTGTATGAGTGCCTTTGCCTGAGCTGGGCTTACTTCTATCCCTCTTTTATTTACAATGTGCCCGAGGAACTGTCCTGAAGAGACGGCGAAGGAGCACTTGGTGGGGTTCAGCTTCATATTGTACCTCTTGAGAGTATCAAAGACCTCCTGGAGGTGCTTCGGGTGATCCTCTTTCCGTATACTTTTGACCACCATGTCATCGATATAGGCTTCAACTGTATTCCCCAGTAGATTATTGAAGATTTTATTGACAAGTCGCTGGTAGGTGGCTCCGGCATTCTTTAGACCGAAGGGCATCACTCTGTAGCAGTAAGTGCCTGTCTCTGTGATGAAAGCGGTTTTCTCCTCATCTTCAAGATTCATGGGAATCTGATTATAGCCGGAGTAGCCTCTCATAACCTGTCGTAGCATCCACCATTTGATCAATCTTGGGCAGAGGGAAGCTATCTTTTGGGCAAGCTTTGTTAAGGTTGGTATAATCTACATATACCCTCCATTTCCCATTCTTCTTTTGAACGACTACTACATTTGAGAGCCATTGTGGGTATTGCACCTCTCGAATGAATCCTGCTTGTAATAGTTTATTTACTTCCTTGGCTATTATGCGATTCCGTTCAGGTGCAAACCGTCGGTGCCTCTGCTTGACTGGCCTGAATTCTGGGTTAACCCTCAAACTATGGCATGAGACCGAAGGATCGATCCTTACCATGTCCGAGTGATCCCAGGCAAAGGTATCTGAATTGCACCGAATGACCCTGATCAATGCTTACTTCTCTTCGGCTATGCAAGATGAGCCAATGTAGGTGACTTTCTGAGGGTCTCCGAGGACTACCTCTATAGCTTCGAGGGATTCCTCGGTAGGTGCTTCAACCTCGGCTTCTTCCTCTGCCTTGAGATACTTGGGCAGAGGATACTGTAACTGCTATTTGATTGCGTCTTTGGGATTCGCCTTTAACGGAGGTGATTTCGACGCCTTCTTTGCTTCATGTAGCGTTAGCATGTAACATTCTTTTGCAGCAACCTGGTCTCCCCAGAGGTCGATGACCTCCCTGCCATCTGGGGATAAACACCTCATTACTTGATGAAGGGTAGACGGGACTCCTTTCATACGATGGATCCAACCTCTCCCCATAATGAGGTTATAAGATGGATGAATTTCTGTCACTACAAAGTTCTCATTCAGAGTCCTCTTTACTGCAGTAACGGATAGATCGATCACCCCAAGCGGATTCACCTTAGTACCATCAAACCCCATTAGGGGGCTAGAAGTTGGCCTGATGGATGATGGTGGGACCCCCAGCTGATCGAAGGCTACTTTTGTAATGATGTTGGTGCTACTTCCTGGATCTATAAACACCCTCCTGATCATATAATTCGCTACCAGGAGGCTGATGACCAAGGGGTCCTCATGCGGGCGCTGGACTCTAGACAGATCATTGTTACCGAATCCAATGTTGATGCTGCCTGGTGCAACCGTGTTTACCGAAGACAATCTTCGTAACTTATGAGCCTTTCTCAGCCTGGATCTGTACAATTCTTCAGACTCTTCATCATCCTCTGACCTTCCGTGTATGGCATGGATAACCTTTACCTGACCGCCCTCCACCCGTCGAGGGTTAACCTCCCGAGGTTTTACGTACTCCTTCGTGGCGAGATACTCCACCAACTCTCCTCTCGCTATCATGCTTTCTACCTGTCGCTGAAGGGACCTGCAGTCATTGGTGGTATGCCCATAGTCTCTATGGTAGGCACAATGTTTGCTTTTGTCCCTCTGCTCCAAGGGTTGTTTCATGGGCTGAGGAGTTGCGAACCTCGTCTTATTCTCTTGGAATAGGCGCGCTAAGGTAGTACGGAGAGGGGTAAGCCTGTCCTCTGTCCTTCGCCTCTTCTCAGGCGCTTGGGTGACTTGTGTGGCGGTATGAGGAACCTTCTGCATCCTTGTGCTTGCAGCTTTCTCTCGAGACTTGTTTTCCATTGTGACGAGGGTAGCGTGCTGTGCACGGTGGGCTACGTTTTCCTCCAACAGAATGTAGATTTGTGCCCTAGCGTTCAAAGTCTGCAAATCCGGGGGGGAATATTTGATCAAGGATGTGTGAAACTTGGTTCCCTGGATCATTGCTAACTTAAATGTTTCGATTGCCATGGCAGGGTGGCAATCTGCTATCTCCGAGGCTTCCATGTTAAACCTGGATAAGAAATTTTGCAGAGTTTCTCCCTTCCTTTGCCTTATGGTGAAAAGGCTGGCGATACTTTTCTTCTGCTTCTTATTTCTACAATACTGGGCTAAGAACATAATACACAAGGTCTCATAATCAGGGATAGACTTGTGTGGCCTATTCCTGAACCATTCTAACGCTACTTCGGTTAAACTGGTAGGAAAAACCTTACACATCCATGGATCGTTATGATCGTCCAGTGCCATCTTTTGCGCATAATGATCGAGATGCCGAGAGGGGTCTCCTGCCCCATCGAACTGGGTGAAGGATGACATAGTGAACTTCTTTGGTCTCTCCACAAGGTACACATCATCAGTAAAGGGGGTCTTGACCAATGAGTTCTTGTGCTCTCTAGCCATCTCGGCTGGTGTCTGAACTCTTAATAGCTTCTTTTCGTCGAAGGCATCTTGTACGCGTGCGCCATCTGGAACGCCATTGGACCATACCGTAAGCCTATGGCTGGACTCGGCCTGTTCGTCCTGTGTGCGGCACGGGAGATTATCTGAAGCAACCGCCTCGGACCTCGTCCCTTGCTTTTGCTGAACCTCATTAGGTCGAGCCCCGTTGGGTGGTGTCCCGTTGGCCGGAAGCTCGTGAACTGGAGGTAAATTCTGGGTGGGGGGTGGTGCTGCAGCATCGCCTGGTGGTGGTTGTGGCGTTAGCCTGGCCATTGCCGTGTGCAGCGTATGAGTCTGCTGCTGAAGCGCAGCTATCTGGGCGACACTCGTATCGTTTGCTTGCCGGAGTGTCTCAAATTGGTGCAAGAACTCCTCTCGCATCTTTTGCATCAATTCTATCTGTTGATTCATTGCCGACTCTCCGTTTGACATTCCAGATACGACTAAGGATTTGATTTGAAGAACAAGTGGGAGTATATTTTTATACGATTCCCACAGACGGCGCCAAAGCGTAGGTGCAAAATTTCGCTCAACCAATAATGATTAAGAAAAATAAAACAACTCACTCAATCAATAGTAAAATAAACAAGAACAATATATCTCGAAGCGTAGAATTGCTTGATCCCTTTATTGGAGGTCTAAGCCTCTATTTATATACAAAAGATTGTAAAATTATGGTAGGACTCGCGTTACTTGCCCTCCAATTCTTTCTATATAAACATTCTTTACTAATAGAGTTCTTTCCATTATCTAATTTTCCATACATAGAACTTGCCTTGTACAGAACTTCCTATCTCAGAATTTTCCTTCTACGGTAAATCTTTCAACTAGTAGGACTTGTGCATTCTTGAATAACTGGGCTGAACATATTTTGATTCGGCTAGGCTTGAGTAACGGATCAGATGTTAAATATTAACAAGTTGGGCTGATGACCTCTTGATTCGGCCTTGATGGAGGTTGGAGGACAAATAACAATGGTCTCGGGTTATAAATACCCTCAATTTGGGCTTGAGCATGATGGGTCTTATATGTCCTTGAAATGTAGATATGTGTAGTGATGACGTGTACGCTTTTTATTAGAGGGAGTTTTTTTTACTCCACAATGGATTTTAAAAAAAAATTAATATATAGTTGACAGTAGTGAATAACTTATTAACACAACACAATTAATAAGGATCTATGTGTTAGCAGTAACACAACAATTAGTTGATAAAGATCATCCCTAAACATTAATACAACCCTCTGTTCATCATTTATGCGTCTGCGTGTGAAAAAGGTCAGCAGTCAGTCGACAATGGTGGGGCCAAAATCATGACTTTAAGGTACTCCGCCTCCGCGTGTGTAGTTTCTTCACCATCCGAAACATTGAGTCAATCCGTGTCATTGACAATTACCAGAAAATTAGTAATTCATCAAGTGATGTATAATTAGTTACAACAAAAGAGAGAAACATATAATTGATGCAAATATTTTGAAGGGAGGGAGATCATCTATCAATCTTGAGAGAGAGAGCTATGACAGACAGCGCGCTGGATTTTCTGTTGGAACACATGATCCAGCTAATGAACTCCCGGAAGGAATTGATTGTGGTTGAGAAGGAGCAAATGGAGTGGGTATACGAACAGATAAAGTTCCTGCGCCAGTTCCTCAAGGATTCAGATCAGGACGTGATTCGCGCCGAGGTGAAAGAAGTAGTGGCAAAGATTAGAGATGTCACTTACCAAGTTGATATTATTATCGACTCCTTTGTACTCATCAACACTCTGTGGGAGATGGATCTAAACTCGGCATTCTTTAATTTTCGTGTCAAAATGAGTATTACATCCCAAATTGAGGAGATGATGAAAAATACTTACAAGGAATGTGTCGACCAGTCTAAGAAAATTGAAAACGGCTCTAAGCTATTGATGGAATATACTGATTGTATCAAATTGATTTCCAACGCAGAGATGATGGAGATTCTCTTATGGCTTGAGTCTCAGAAAGTTCATCATGGACGACGACATGGCTCTAATTCTGAATCTGATGACGTTGTCATAGAAGTAGAGGAGATCAAGTCTCTCATAAAGGAGGTGGTGGATATTTATGACATGGGGGGATCATCTTCTGATGAAATTCATCTCCTCCGCAGTTTTTCCGATAAAACATTACTCATGTGGAGTTCCGGTAAGCCATGGTTTACTCCTCACTCCCTTAGTTTTTCCTATCAAACTTTATCACTCAAGTGGCCTCGCCGTAAGGAATGGAAATTGCCTCTCTTCTTTTTTAGATTCAACGACATGGTCAAGCTAGCTCAAAAAATTAATCATGAATTTGGTGGCATCACTGAAAAGCTCAACCCAATTATGATACAAGTAATCAATATTTATGACAAGGGGTTGAGTGTCACATGGCCTCAGTCTCACATGCCGGATCGATTTCGTCTCCTCGTCAATAAGTTCCAACATTTGATCAATCTGGCTCAGAAAATTCACCATGAATTTGGCAGTGTCATAGAAATGGAGGAGGCGCTTAGGTGCCGAGTTATTGAAATTATGTCACCAACACTTGCCTATGTGAATATGCATCGAAATTTAGGCGACGTGACGGAGGACATCAAGTCTATCAAGAGAGAGGTGATGGAGATTTATGAGAAGAAGAAGGTGCATGGCATTGGAGAAGGAATCCAGCAGATCACGAGTTCTTCCCGTGGAGTTTCATCAAAAACTGCCAACCCCATAGCAGTGGAAGAAGAAGTACTTGGTTTCGATGAGGACATAAGGACATTAATGGAGCTGCTTGCCGGAGACCATGAAAAGGATCTTAAATACATCCCCATTGTTGGAATGCCTGGACTAGGTAAGACAACTCTGGCAAGAAAAGTGTATAATGATCCTTTCATAGTGTATTACTTTCATATTTGTGCATGGACCTATGTCTCTCAAGTCTACCAGAAGAGAGATATATTGCTTAGCATTATAAATTCTGCACGCATTCCTGTTTTTGGTAATATTGGCAACATGAGTAATGAAGAGTTAGGTGAGCACTTTTACAAAGCTTTGAAAGGAAAGCGATATCTTGTTGTCATTGATGATATATGGAGTATCAAAGCTTGGGATGTTCTGAAAAGGTATTTTCCAAATGACCGCAATGGAAGCAGAATTGTGTTCACTACTCGACTTGTAAATGTTGCAATGGCTTTGCAGGCTAAACCTCACCATTTGAGTTTTCTAAATGAAGATGAAAGTTGGAATCTATTATGTTTTAAGGTATTCCAAAAAGAGAGTTGTCCTGTAGATTTGATAGAAATTGGAAAGGAAATTGCAAAAAAGTGTGGAGGATTGCCACTTGCGATTGTTGTAATATCAGGGCTTCTCGCAAAGAAAGACAAGAATTTAGAGTGGTGGAAGCATGTCAGTGGAAGTGTAGGTTCCTATATTATTAGTGATCCAAAACAATACATGGACACACTAGCACTGAGTTACAACCACTTACCTCAGCACTTGAAACCATGTTTCCTCTATTTTGGAGCATTTCCAGAAGACTATGAAATCATTGCGAGGCAATTGATCTCTTTATGGGTCGCTGAGGGATTTATACGGCAAAATGAGCAGAAAACCTTGGAGGAAGTGGCAGAGGATTACTTGATGGATCTAATTGACAGAAGTCTAGCAATTGTTTCAAAGAAAAGGTCTGACGGTGGAATCAAAGCATGTCGTGTCCATGACCTTTTGCGTGATTTATGCTTGAGAAAGGCACGTGAGGACAATTTTCTTGGACAGATTTCCAGGTATGAACAGAGTTCTGCATATAAGCAATGTCGATTGTGCATCCATGATAACCTTGTTGATAATGCTTCTTTCAAGCCTTATGAGGTATGCACCCGATCTTTCTTGTCCTTCGGTCGTTCGCCTTTTAATTTACCTATGATTGAGGATGATTCATTCATCTGTCAAGCCTTCATGCTTCTTCGGGTGTTGAATTTATTATCCATTAAGATCTTCTCTGTTTCACTGGCATTAGAAAAGTTAGTTCACTTAAGGTATTTAGCACTTCATGTTGAGGGAGAGTCTGTCAGTCCAGAGATATCCAACCTCTGGAACCTCGAAACTATTATTATTAATGGATCGAAAGGTTCATTACACTTACATCGCATCCAGAAGATGGTGAATTTGAGGCATGTGTATAGTACCCGTCCTATAAAAATCCTTAGTGACTCTCTATTCATGAACCTGCAAAGCACAAGCGAACTCCCTGGCTCTCCCTCGGTATTTGAGAACCTGCAAACCATAGGCAAACTCCATGGTGGACATGATTTGGAATGGTTTCCCAATCTTAAAAAATTAAAATGTGAACATGACAATTTTCCAAAATTGGACTTTTTAGTTCACCTTGAAACACTAAGCTTAATTTACAATGGATACAAAAGGTGTTCCCATCTTGATAGGTTCCCCCCAAAACTCAAAAGCCTCACTTTATCGAACTTCCGTCTACCATGGGATCAAATGTCAATCTTGGGGAGTTTACCCAACCTCGAGGTTCTCAAATTGTCATACAAGGCATTCGAGGGACCAAGTTGGAGCACAAGTGATGGGGAGTTTCGCAAACTCAAATTCTTGAAACTCCGGGGCTTAGACATTAGGCAATGGAACACCTCCAACAGTCACTTTCCTAACCTTCAAACATTGGTGTTGGATGACTGTGAACTACTTGAGGAGATCCCATCAAGTCTAGGGGATGTATCTACTCTAGAGATGATTCAGGTACGTTGGTGTAGCCGCTCTACGGAAAATTCTGCCCGACAAATTCAAGAAGAACAAAAGATCATGGGAAATGATGGGCTTAAGGTCGTTATCTACTCTTTACATCATAATGAGGTAGTCTTTGAGGATGTGGATGAGGATGACGATGAGTGAAGCACATTCCACCTCATTGATCATGCAAAAGAGTCAGCCAATTTAGGTATGTTTTAATGAATGTATTAACTTTTGAAGACTGCAATTTGCAGTATTTTTTTTTTTTTTGGGTGTGTTTTCTTGTATTGACTCCACAACATGTATGATAATTTTAGAAAATGCATTTCAAGTGTTACGCCCAAAACAACAGCTCCCTCTTTCTTGGGAAAAAAGATTGACTAACTTTTTGGCCTCTATGTTGTTTTTCAAACCATTGTTTAGTTTCTAATCAACCCCATTAATTACATGTCTAGGGGGCATCTAATATGATGAATGCACATGCTTTGGTAGAGTCCTCATTTTTGTGCATCACTAGCTTCAGGATGATCACGTTTGAATTTCCACATAAATTTTAGGCTCCATTTGATTGAGTTGTGCTATTTAAACCGAGGAGATGGGCGGAAATACAAAGCCTGAATAAAGAGCTGTCTGAAAACTTAATGGAATTGAGTCTGCTCCTGATGAGTTTTTTTCTTTTTACAACTTAATCAGAGCCTGGGGAGATAAAAATTTCACTCTAAAGAATTTCTTTACAAGAAGATAGTGTAAACAGAAGCATTGAAAGCAAGCTAAAAGTTGAATGGGCAGGCATTAGGAATGTTAAGGTAAGAATATTGAGTCGATTCCTATTTCTTGCCATCAAAGTAGAGTCACATTGCCACTAGCTCTACCTATAACGCATTTCCTTGTGTAATTTATAAATAGAAAAAAAACACCAGATACAATTCACGGGACGCAAGGTAATATGACTGAATAAAATACTTCATAAATAACATATGATAAATATACGAAACATGTAAAATGTCACAAGAAACAATATGGTTCTTGAAACACAACTCATTAATTAAAGTAAAATAAGGGACATAAACAAAATTTACTTTCTTTAATTTTTATCCTATGTTAATTTTGGTCGCCCTCTCGGAGTCTTCTACCATTCAAATTAGTCTTCCTCATCTTACGTGCGCTTCTATAGGTCTTCTTTGTACATGTTCATATCACTTAAATCTACTCTCTAATTTTATCGTTAATAGGTGCCATTTGTAAGTTCTCCCTCAAATTTTGACCAGAAGGCTATCAATCTATGACTATCCAAAGTCAGACTACTGATCTGCCAAGAAAAACACATTTGATTCTATAAGACTCCAGCGGAATGCATCAAACGCATACCGCTATGCTTTAAGAGGCCCCTGAGTAAGAGTATCAATAACAGAATTCAACACTAGAACATAGAAGGTTCACAGCTCAGGACACTCTAATGAGCATCACAAATCTTCACGATGTAAGCCCATAAATGTATGGCTAGAATTTGAATTCCCCATTCCAATTAACAAAATTCTATACTAAGATCTGAACTAAGGGAGAAACATAATCCAAGGATCCCTTCTGTTGTTACAGTTGCCTATTATGCTCAAAGAAAAATGTTGACAAGGGTAATAATAGAAGCAAATAACAACAATAAATCTCATGCATGCATCATCCCTCCATGTTGCAGATAAACAAAAACCAGTGAGCAAATGAGAGCAGAATACAAGTAGATCACTACGAGCCTCCATGAAAAGGATTTAGTTGGCAAGAATACATTAAAAAATCCCTCATTCTCTGCACAGCCACCTATTAGAGGGGGAGCTAATGACATTTTTCAGAAAACCAGTTTGTTTCCTGACTACTTCTACAATGTACTTTTGAAGAGTAGTTGTATCCTTATATTCATTGGTATATTTTCCAGGTGACGTGGGATCATGATATCTTGTAGCCTGCCAGCGCTTGCCTAAATCCAGGGGCAGAGGCAGCATGTGCCCGGGGGGCAGCTGCCCCCCCTGCCCATGCTGCCCCACTAGAATATATATATATACAGCGATTTGTATGGTATCTCTACTTAGGCTGAGACAGACCTATTGGGCTAGTGAGCGTCCTATAGTGTGTATTTATACTTATATGGACTACTTTAGTTATTGTTGAGCTATCTAGGATGTATCTGCGTATTAGGTTTCTGTATGGATTGTTGTATGATAGAACTTGCATGTGGGCTTGACCTACTCTCATATTTTTCAGGTGTTCCTCAGTTCCAGGGTTAGAGCTTGATCGTGCTGAGCAGATACAGTCACTCATTCCTCCGACTACGTAGGATTGCTTTCCATATTTAGCTTTGGATTTTGTTTCAGTTGTTTCCTTTTCAATTTGGGATTTTGATAGGGGTCCACTAGATGGATTCCCGAATTGTTTAAGTAATGGAGGTTTTGGATTATTGGATTTTAATTATATTATTTTAAGGATTTTTAATTTAGAATTCTTTCAGCTTTATTATTTTATTCTTATTTCATTTTTGTATTCCGTGCTTATTTAGATTTTAATTGTTTGGTATCCCTCGGATTTGTGCTCAGACTTGATCACCCGTGGCTCTAGAATCGAGGGGTATCACAGTTGGTATCAGAGCACTCCAGGTTCAAGTGTCTCTAGGATTTTGTCGTATAAGACTTCCGTGTAGCGTTTTCTCTTGTTTAGAGATTAAGTTTAGGATTCATTGTATTCCTTTACGGTTCGATTTAAATCGTAGATATCTGTCTTTCTATGTTAACAGAATGGTTAACGCTAGAATCAGACGGAATAATCAACGACAAAGGGAAGCGGCCTGTAGGTAGTAAGATCTCCTACAGCGTCAGCAAATTAAGGAAGAACAACAAATGCCTAGGTTTCAGGATGATGATGGTTAGTTCTACGAGGAGCAGGAGGAAGTTCAGCAAACTTAAGATCAAGGGGGAGATCCAAAGTATCTTCCTCATATCAATGACATCATTGCTCGGGCTATAGAAGCAGGTGTGACAGCTGCACTTCGGAATCAACCACAGATTCAGCAGGCACATGTATCAGCACCAGTGGTTTAGACTGATCCTTGAGAAAATGCTAGGAGTTCTTTCACAAAGGGAAGCCCACTTGAGTTCACAGGCTCCACCGATGCGAAAACAGCTCAGCAGTGGAAGAAGGATATTGAGCGACATCTTCGAATAGTTTAGTGCACGGAGGTTCAAAATCAGATGCTTACTACATACAAGCTGGTCGGAGATGCACTACAGTGGTGGGAGTCAGTTACCACCACAGATGAGAGGATTTCATTGATTTATGATCAGTTCAATGCTCGCTTCATTAAGAAGTACTTTCCTTATGCAGTTAGGACAGCTATGAAGACCGGGTTCCTTAATCTGCAGTAGGGGAACATGACAGTGATAGAATATGAGCAACAGTTCACGCACTTATCTTTTTTTGTACCAGAGGAGGCAGATATAGAGGAAAAGAAATATAATAGTTTCGTTAAGGGACTGGTGTGGTCTATTAAGTGAACTATTATAGGTAGTCCAGCTTACACTACTTATACTCAGGTGGTGGATGCCGCTCTACAGCAGTATTAGTTGATCGTGCACTTCAGACAGGTTAAGGGTGAGAAACGGGGTGACAGAGACTCTGCAAATCAGTCAGCTGAGAAAGGAAATGGCAATGGACACCGACAGAATGACAAGGGCAAATTCCAGGGACAACAGTCTTAGAAGAAGCACAAGGGTGGTTCAGATGCTCACAGGGATGTGACACATATTCAGAGGCAGCAGAATGGGGGACCACAGGCAGTACAGGGTCAGCCACAGGCTAACCGACAGAGGAGGCCATTTAGCACTTTCCAGGGTAGTTGCTACATTTGTGGAGAGTATGGTCATACTTCCAGGCAGTGTCCTAAAGCAGGACAGGGACAGGGACAACATGTGCAGCAGGGACAGAGGGCATCGGTACCTTTACCTGCTCCAAAGGTTCCACGGATTCAGGGACAGACATATCCGGCTTTACCAGCACCGCCATGCCTCAGGGACAGACACCGCAGCAGTTGCATTATGGCAGGGTTTTCAACCTCATGCCGTAGGATGTTCAGGCACCTCAGGTTGTTGATGGTATGTTTCCTATTCATGGATCATTGGGTCATGTTTTATTTGATACGGATGCTACGCACTTATTTGTATCTAGATCTTTTGTTACTTTATCGGGGATGACGACGCGGGTATGCAGTAGACCTCAGGGTATTTCTACACCTTTAGGCAATACAACCATCTTACATGAGAGTGATGGGCCTGTGACATTAGATATTGGTAGACTTAGATTTCTAACCAATCTATTGGTCCTGGACATGCACACTTATGATGTGATACTTGGGATGGATTGGTTATTTCACTACCATGCCCAAGTTAATTGTTATGATAGATCTATTATTTTTACCATACTTGGTCAGGATATGTACGTCATTGCTATGCCAAGGTCTAACGGGGTCACTAGCACTTACTTGTTCCATGTGGAGGAGGAAACGGAGGAGGGGATTACTGGTGTGTCCTTGGCTCAAGGTCGTATTAACACACAAAGTTTCAATAAAAGTGTGGCCAAGTTTAAATTTATAAAGGGCCACTATTACCTCTAACTACTAATATAGCTAGGGTGAGTAGGGATCGTCCCAAGGGATTGGGGGCAACCTTAATATGGAAACACGGTCGGATTAGTAGGTCAAATGATCAAAAGATTGTTTGTTTGGTTAATTAAACTACAATGTAAATGAATTCAATATAAAGCAATTGAAATAAATAAAAGGGTAGAGAACAAGAGAGAGAGGTCTTGGGATCTAGAGGTCACCACTAAACATCACCATTCTAAACATTCAATGTGTAATAAATGAGGGGAAACATGTTTTGCAATACAATAAGGTGTGATTAATTGAATCAACAAGCATAGATTGACTAATTAAGTATACATTATCTACACAACCTAGTGAATAGTATAATATATCAAACTAAGCCATTATTCCTTCCTTTAAGCTCTCAATCAACACATTAACAATTTAGAGAATCATACTACTTGCATTCACGAGTATGGAACATCAAATAATAAGTATGGATTATCTTCACATCTAAGAAAGTAAAGCAACTACATTACTTATAAGCTAAAGACATAAGAATTAAACTAATTAACTAAGGTAGAGGCACAATCCATCAAGAAATGAGTATGAACCATCAAACAAACCACAAAAGTATACCATTTAAGCACTATGCCTTGACAATCTCTAGATTTATAGCATCAAAGCACATAGACATGCATCAATATCATAAAACCAAGAGATAAACACATGAACATCTACTCTAGCATACATAGACATATGGATAGAATGAAATGATCAATTAGAAGTATTAATGAACACAAATCATTGTAAGAACAAGAGTCATATATAAATCAAGTGTCAAGACAACATTACAACACAAATTCACTCAAAATACAAAGCATTAAGGTCTAGAAGGCATGCTTAGGGCTAACTCTAGCCCCAAAAAGATGTTTAGCCACTCATTGATGTAGTCATCCAACCCTCAAGGGCCATCTCTATGGTAGAAATGCTCTTCTTTTTTATGAAAACTCTAGAAGAATGGAAGAACTCCCAAAATAGTGTATGTCTCTCTAAGCTCTAGCCTCCTCTCCAAGATATGTGATTCTAAGTTATGTTCTCTCAAGATATGAAGATATGATGTAAAAATGGCTCAAAATCCTTTTATAGGTAACTCAAGTGTGACACTCAATGGTCAGGTCTCGTGCACTAGGGTCCCTTCAATGATTGCACCACGAGCCATCTTTTAATGAGCTGGACTCTATTTTAATTCGGACTTGAGAGGAGGTTCGATCGATCGAGTTCAGATGAGATAGATCGAACTGTGGCCAGATCAATCGAAGTTAGGCCAGATCGATCAATCCTTGGGGGTGCTTTTCTAGAATAAGACAAATCTGAGATATTTTTGGGATATTTTAGGAAAAAGACAAAAGTGGTAGGTGAGGATAAGATCAAAGAAGTTCGATTGATCTGAAGAAAGTTGGATCGATCGAAGATGGAAATTCTTTGAGGATAAGGACAAGGGGTCTGATCCATTTTGGTGAGGTGAGATCGATTAATGTGAGATCGATCAAAGGTATTCCTGATCGATCGAAGATTGCTGATTTCCACCACTTTGCTTCCACTTTGCTCCATTCTTCCATTCAGCTTGAGATTACTTCTTTTATGCTCTAATTTGGCTGAATTGGCTTATTTTGAAAGGGCAATAACATGAAATTAGTCTAAAATAGGAAAGTAAGATAGATAAAGGTCCTAGAATACTTGAGTTTAAGGGGTTTAAATGCGTATTTTTCAGCGCTAATCACACCCCCAAACTTAAATATTGCTAGTCCCCAACCTAACAATGAACTACAAAGTAAAGGAATGAAATGAACATCTATATAAGTATGAACTAGAAAATAATAAAAAGATAACGCCACTTTCATAGGGAACACGATTGCATTTAACATATGCAATAAGCCTTTTAAACCCCTAAATTACCCCTAGTGAACGAGTGAAGTCTCATGAGAGTTTGCAGAAATGATACCCACAAACATTAAGCTCTTTCTCACTAAAGAGGCACCAATATTCCAAACAAGTATTGGGAGAAAACTACCTCAAGTATGCAATTTTTCAACCATTTCCAAGCAATCTCCCAAAATCTCAACATCAAGCAAACAATATGATCCTCCACACATCAAGAAAATGATAATGCAAATCAAAATAACACTAGAATCCTTTTTGAGTGGACCAATATCAAATATGTTGCTATCTAAGCCAACTAGAGAAATGATCACATCCTTACTCTCAAACTAGCACACAAATCTAGTACCGATTATCAAAATAAAGATATGACCTTTTATTAAAACTTTATTGATCTATGTGCACTTCTCCTTCTTTTTTTTTTTTGGTAATCCTAAGGATTAAAGATGGAAGCATAGTGTAATGTGTTGATCTATTAAGCTTTCTAGCGATCCATGAGGTCGAGCGTTAGGTCAATGACTCTCAAACCAGACGGCTTTAGGGCACTAGATGTTCAAACACCCCTAAGGACTTACAAGGTCAAATCAACTAGGCTACAAAACAAAACAACCTCTATCTAATCATTTTCCACTTCTCACCTTTTTGAAGAAGTCCTTACCTTCTTTTTTTTTTTTTTTTTTTTTTAAAGCAAGTTCAATTGTTAACCTAGAGTTTGGGCCCTCCACCTTTCGGCGCGAGAAATTCAGTGCTTGATGAGGCTAGAATCTTGGTTACTCAATGAAAAGGGTTTGTTATCCACCTTTATCAAAATGAAAACTTTCAATGCACTACTAGCTCAATTGGGATATAACCAATTCAATAATCAACGAAGCACGTACCCCACAAATGAATGCTAGTGTGTATCTGTGCTAGTGTAAAATCCTAGAGTGAATCTCAAAAC